CGAGAGCCCGGGGAGCAAGCAACTTCACAATTCCATACAATGATTTCGAGAGAAGAGCACGGATCATCTCGAAGAAGCTGACGCTATAAATGTGAAGAATTTCGGCTACTCTGTTACATGAAACTTTACCTCCACATGTAGAGATCGGGGGAATCACGTGGGAAATTTGAACCTCAATCGTGAGTGAGGCTGCATCCGAGATTTGCGCTAGCCATTTGTCTGATCCGGTATAGCCTTCGGATCCCATCCTCTATCTCCCAGGCGGATACCCGCTAGGCAGGCGGGATACCCGCCCGCATATGCGGAGATATACCGCGCACGTCCGAGCTGGCACCCTGCCGTGGCTGCTTTTCGAGAAGCATACCTCAAGACGAGCTGCTTCACAATCCATCTCGTCGGAAGGAATCCCTCCCGACGAGCTGGTGTACATACCAGCTCGTCGGGAGGGGTTCCTCCCGGCGGTATGGCCTCTCTTGGCACCGGGTATCCCTTGGGATACCCGGATATCCGCCAGGTCTGGGCGGAAAAACGGCCATCCGCAGCCGAATCCGCACCCGCTGGCGGGTATCCGCTGGCCCTAGCGGGTATCCGCCAGGGGATAGCGGATATCCGCGGCGGATTATCCCCGCCCATCTCTAACTGGAACACACCTGGATCAACTCTTACCCAACAATGGACTACATATTACAAGGATTTCACCCATCATTACATATCACCCAAAACCTCAAGCTACACAGACACCCTCAGTACAGTACAAACCCTCATTTACATATACACTCATTTACATACATCTAAACTCCTTACATTTCATGTCTACATATTACATCATACCTGCAGCCTAAATTAGTGTATTTTCCTTGCATGACAGCTGCAGCTTACACCACCACATTCACTTGTAAACACATCAGAACCTGACCAATCAGAATCACTCATTCAGCTGTTTGTATCACCACTTCAACTCTTGTACATGTCTGACCAATCAAATTCACTCATTCAACTTATGTATGTAGCTAAAATACCTCATGTAATAGCGCAGGCCAGCCAAAATCACTCATTACTGGCTGCCCTGGAGCTAAATTCCCTCACTATTTTCTATATAAGGAGGCTTTCCTCCCAGTTGTTGTCTCCTCAGTGTATTATTCATCAGTCGCAGTTTAGTACCACTCACTCAAAGATATACCACCCATACAGAACCTTACCAACACCAATAACAACTAAACTCATTTCTCAGCATCACACAAACTCATTCCTGAACTTACCCTATCACTTGATTAAAACTTGCCAAGCTGAGCTTGGTGGGTCTTGTTATCTGATAGTATAGAAGGGCAGAGCTTGCACCTCCACCATCCCCTTCTCCATTCAGCAAAA